CAACAACAACAACAACGACTTTGGACATTTCATGTATGTAAGTAGCTACATGTAACACGACACTTTTGGTATGTAAGTAACAGTAACTACATGTATTTGCACTTGCACTTTTGGCGGCTGAGTCAACACTACAGTTGATTGTTTTACATGTCTGCATGCGCCGACTGCCTGATAGCAACTACTCAGGCTCATTTTGTTTTGCCCCGTTTCACTCCACTGCAGCCATGGCCGCTCCATCTACTGCAGATGCTACAATGGGGGGAGATGCGACTACACCCGACAGGGCGTCTACACTGGAGGTGGCTGTCACTACAACGACTCCAACTACCACTTCAACCATCCCACACCTGGCAACACAGTCTACTACAACCCGACCACAGTGATGGACCAACTACACATCCAGACAACCACTACACCACCACTGCCCGACAACACACCCTACACACAGTTTTTCACTGCACTCACACTTGAAGAGTATCAACTACTTTCACATCAACAAGCAACTCCACTTGCACAACTGGACTACACACAACCCATCTACTGCATCCCTGGAGACCTTCGGATGCCCCGCTACAACTCCACCCTGCTCAGCGTTTCACTACCTGAAGCAGCCAACGTGCGCTACTACCATACGACTTCCCTTCACACTACAACCGGCGACAACAACAACTACGTCATCACCCAACTGCAGATTGAACAACAACTACTCCTGAGGTACCTCACTTCAGGACAATTTATCCACTTCACCAGAGACTACATTTCCTACATGATGTCGGTACAACAGAACTACTACCTCCCAACTACAACACTGCCACAGACCATCTACAAGGTGAACTACAACATGACCATCTTCACCGACAACTACGGCCTCAGGAACAACTATCTTTGGAACTACCACATGCCACTACTACTACCTGAACTACTCCACTACCTCTACAACAGAGACCAACTCCACGACTACCAACACAAGGCAATCACTACAAGTACTACGGATTTACACTACTCACCATGACAAACCTCACACAACACCACAAGGCACTACTACACCGCTACCTCAGGGACTACAACCAACACATGTCATGTCCCGAGATCAACGATGAGCGACTACGAGGAGCACCAAACTACATGACAACCTAACTGGGACTACATCTTTGAGCACATACTCTACTACAACAACAAGTGCCTGCCTCACTACTTCCGTCCAGCGCGCTACATCGAGCTGGAACCTGAACAGCGAGAACTACTGGGTGGGTGCAGGTTACTACTTTTGTCACTACAGTAGAATTGATGAACAACAATGGTTTTCATCACTACTGCCAATCCATGTTTTTGCACTTCAGTTGAAAAGGTACTACAAAGACCTTTTAACTGAGGGGCCGTGTCAAACTACATGCTTCACTTCCTGCATTTGTGTTGCATGTGACTGCAGGCCTTGAGCTCACTACATCGCATGTGTAAAAGGTGGATTGCTGCAGACTACAATCGGTTGACTGTTTGCTTGAACACTACAGCACTTGCACTTGTAAGCAAAGTATTTTAACTAAGCAGAGAGAGAGAGAGAGAGAGAGAGAGCGAGAGAGAGAAACTGAGAGCACACAGGGCACTCAAACAGGGTGACAAGCAATACACACACACACCAAGCACACTAACACAAACAAAACGCCCTTGTTCTTCTTAATTTTCGAATCATTCTAGAAACTCCCAACGGGGCAGGGGACTGTTGGGGAATTCCGAAACAATTTCTTCTAACTCAATGAAATTTCTACTTGTTCTATTTATTACCCAAGGGACGGGCGCGCTTTGGGGAATTCGAGATACATTGTACTAATTCTTACAGCTATTCTGATTATTACATTTTTTTCACCAAGGGACGGGTGCCCTTTGGCGAATTCCAGATTCATGTGTTTTCGAATCATTCTACGTGATTTTATATGTTTCGCAAAGGGGCGGGTGCATTTTGGGTCACTCTCATAACAATTACCAGTAGAGCCGGCGAAGCCGGTGGGCGGGAGTTTCCAAAATATAAAAACTATAGTTCTCTTTCTCTTTCTTTTCTTGACTCCTTTTCTCAGTCATTCTTCCTTTCTTCCTTTCTTTCCTTCCTTCCTCCCTTCTTTCCTTTTTTCTATCTGTCTTTTCTTTCTTTCTTTCGTTTGCTTGTCTATCTATCTTTCTCTACCTATCTATACCTAATTACCTATCTATCTATCTCTCGTGTTATCTATCTATCTGCTTATCTATCTATCTATCTCTCTCTATCTATCTTCTCTATCTATCTCTCTATCTCTCTATCTATATATCTACCTATCTCTCCATCTCTCTATCTATCAATCTCTCTATATCCCTCTATCTCTGTCTCTCTCTTTCTCTGTCTATCTATCTATCCATCTATTTCTCTATCCATCTACCTATCTATCTATTTATCTGTCTATCTATCTATCTATCTATCTTCTGCTTGTTTATCTATCTAACTATATATTTCTCCATCTATCTCTCTATCTTAGACCAAAACTTAGCCTCTATCTCTGTGGAGGTTAAAACCGGCCAATAGTCATGTAACAAACCACGTCACTCTTCATGTAAGTATTCATGTAAACAAAAACAGGCCTTAAAGAAACACGTAAAAGATCATGTAAACAATGTGTGCCTCAGTGTTGGAAGCTGGAAGCTGCATCATTTGCCATGTAACAGGCCTGAACAGAGATAAAAGGCGCACAATCAGACAAGCCAATGGCAAAACATTGGCACGAAGAAGGTAAGGGAAGGTAAGGCTCCAACGCGCCCCTCCCATCTCCATAACAAGCGCCCAAGGTGTTGATTGAATGATAATTGTTAAATCCTTAGCAGCTGCCGTGCGAATGTTAGGAGGCCAAACATCTTAAGTCTTAAACACGTGGTTGGTAAGCCTAAGCATGCGTGAGCAGAAGCAAGAGCAATTCCTGAGCATGCTGTTGCAATCTTCGGAATGGTTCCTAGGTACGCAGCTCCAATGTCTCCGAACGGTTCAGAACGGTTCAGGGTATGATGCTGCAATCCCTCCTGAACGGTTCAGCACGGTTCAGGGCATGCTGCTTGCAATTCTTCCTGAACGGTTCAGAACGGTTCAGGGTATGCTGCTGCAATGACTGCTGAACGGTTCAGAACGGTTCATAGTATGATGCTGCAATCCCTCCTGAACGGTTCAGAACGGTTCCTGGGAAGCTTGAGTGACGAACGGTTCAGAACGGTTCAGAACGGTTCTGAACTATACGCCTGCTCTGTGCGCTGCTTGCTAGATGGGCTCCAGAACGGTTCAGAACGGTTCAGGGGCATGGGTTCCAATGCCTCCGGAACGGTTCAGAACGGTTCAGGGGCACGCGTTCCAATGCTTTCGGAACGGTTCAGAACGGTTCAGGGGCATGCAGTTTGGTTGCCACCGTTCCTCGGAACGGTTCGTGAGCACGCGGCTGGCGGTTCCTAGTCCTAGGTAAAAGGTCAGGCCGGCATCGGAACATCGCAAGCGATCCGAAATCTCAAAGCACAAAAAGGCAAAGACTTGTCTGAAATTTACGCGAAAATTTACGCAACCTCTTACGCAGAAAAAGGCTGGCTGAACCGTTCTGAACCGTTCAGGGGACACATTTTGAGCATGGAGGTCCGTCCGCAGAACTTGCGTGCACATGTGACAGCATCGATCGCTCCTCTTTTCCGGCCTTTGCTCAACTGGGTTTCTGGAATCGGTTCTTGGATTCCCTGGGTCTTGCGGACAAACGAGGCGAAGCCGCGGCAAAGAAAAAAAACAAAAAACAACGCGCGACAGTACCACAACGCGGCAAGCAAAGCTGCAAGAAGGCAAGGCTTAAAATCATCCTTTGCAACTCCTGACTGGTTGGATCAGCGGCCACGCGGAGACAACCTCGTAGAGTCGTGTGTGCATGTGTGTGTTTGTGTGTGTGGGTGGTGTCTGTGTGTCTGTGCGCCAGGTGCATGTTAGGAATATAGACGTTAATCTTGATGTTCTTCAAGATTGGCCCTCGCAAGGTCGCCCAACAAAAAGCTGACTAAGTCTTGATTGTTGGAAAGCGCCCTCAAATCTTCTTAATGTTGTTCACGCAGCTGACATAACCAATGACCGGACATACCGGACGTTCTTTGACAAGACGCAGTGTTCCTAGTCCTCGGTTCCTACAACATCTCCTTTCTCATGATCACTAAACACAAATTGACATGTATCTTGGTGGGGTTCTGGCTGCTTATTAGCATGGCAACGCAACCCAAGCGCAAGCATGGGCGCACGCGCTTTTGCGTCCGGAGCTTTTTGGCTTTGCCAACGCGACACATGCTCGCGAGCAAAACTGTGGCTCGCAGCTACCAGTACGCATGAACATTCATGTCAAAGTTGTCGCGGATCTTCCAATGGTTCATGACTCATGACGCTTTGCCTTCCTTCAGTGATATGAGCAGGTTAAATTCGCGAAGGGGAAGATTCTCGCCAATACACATCCCTGTCAATGAGGGACACTAAGTCCAGCTCACGCAGGGTCACTCAAGATCGGGCAAGCCAAAATAAGCTACAACTAATTTACCTCACTATTTACCATATTATTTACGGACTCTTCCTATTAAGGGCCAACCAGAAAGCTTGATTTATTTACGTGATTGTTTACGCTTTTATTTTCGGGTACGGCGAAAACGACAGACACCCCTATTTATAGAGGCTAAGTTTTGGTTTAATCTCTATCTCTCTTTACTTCTATCTTTCTAGGCGCAGCTGGCTTTGTTTCAGGCCAGGATATGGGGCTGGCGTGCTTCTTGCAGGTGCTAGAGCAGTTGCGGTTTAGGCGTCTTGCCTTTTCTGACGTTTGGCTGCCTTGGCCTTTGCTTGTCCTATTGATGCTTGTGTTTATCGTTTGTTTTGCTGAAACTTTGGTGCGCCTGGTGCAGAGCGCAAGCCATATTTTGCTTCGTGAGCCTTCAAGCATTCAAGCTTTGCCTTGCGCTTGCCAATCTCCCGTCGGACCATGGCTGCTCCGTCTCCGTCGGCCGGCGCTGCTCGAGTGCCAGTGGTGGTGGCGGAGGATGTCCCTATGGCGTCGGACGGGACAGCAGCCGGGCCTGGCTGGACGTCAGACAGTCGTCGCCCGGCAGCCAAGGCTCGCCCGGCAGCCAAGGTTCAGGCAGCGCCCTGCCTGCCGCCGGACTCCGACAGTGACGAGGACCTCTTCCTGACGTCGGACGGCCACTTCGATCAGGCGCGCATCTTCACCTGGGGGGCGGAGAAGGAGTACCGCGGCGAGCAGCATCAGGGCAACTTGGCTAGGCATTGCTGCCGGGAAGGGCTTTGAGAGTTGCCTTTGCTCTTAGGCAAAGTTGCGGGCAAGCACCTTGTGCCCGGGCTGCTCAAAGGCCTGGGCTTTCAACCGCTAACCGAGTCGCAATATTTTGAAAAATGCACCCCCTTCTTTGCTTGGTTTGCAGGCTGGTGGCCGCACGCGCAGCACACGTCGGTCGATGCGCGGGGGTTTTGGGACAAAAACCCCGACGTCGGACTGGGCACCGCGGCCGTGGCCGTGGCCGCGGCCACCCGCGGCCTTGGTACATGCACAGTCTCTTGTCAGGTGATGGTACCTTGTTTCGATGTTCCTGCTTTCTTGTTGTTTCGGAACAATATCAAACTATGTAGTTACTTATAATGATTTTGTTCATACCTGTGTAAGATGGCGTCTTCTATGACACGGACGCCGTTGCGCATTGCCTCATGGCCGGCGGACGGGCGGCGGTGGTCCTTGTGGCCTACTGCTGCATCCAGGTGCTCCAGTTTTTGCACCTGGCGTCGGACGAGGCCTTGCGCCGCGAAAGCGCGGCGGCGCTGGAGCTGGTGCTGTCCCTGTTTTGTGCCCTGTCACCCTTTGCATCTGCGCAAGTCTGTTGACAGTTTTGGTCAGTGGGCCCCTTCAACACAATCTTCTTCTCACCTCTGCTCAGGTACTGCAGGGAAGCACCGCTCCGTGTCGGCTTCTTTCGCCGTCGGACAGCTGTGCCGCTGCACCTTCGCCAACCTCCGGCCGGACGACAAGCGCTTCGCACGCAAACCCTGACCTCTCCTGCTCTAAGTTTTGAGAAAGTGTGTTCCAGCGTTTCGTGTATTTCTGCTTCGCAATGTTGCACACATTTGCATTTCTGTGTGGGCTAAGGATTCCCAGGCGCTGGGATGATTGGAACATCGTCCGCGGTCTGACTCCTGCGCTCAAGCCCTTCTACACGGCTGTCGTCGGACTGGTGAAGTGACTCTGGCTGCAGTTTGAACGGCCAAGCAGCACCTGTTGACTTCAAGAGATAGGCGTTGCCATTCTCAAACAAAGTTTTCATGATGCGAGGACTCGTCCATCGCCTGCCTTGGCCTCTTCCACCACGCCGGACACGCCGGACACGCCGGACACGCCGGACACGCCGGACAGGCCGGACAGCAGCAGGCCGGACAGCAGCAGGCCGGACGAGTGTATCCGGATGGCCACCAAGCAAGCCCCTTGTCCTTTTCAGCAGCTTTTTGACCAGTCAGCCAGTGAGCCAGTTATTTCAGCCAGTTGGCATTGAAACCATTTTGCGGCTCGCGGTGTACAAATCAGGTCATGGCGCAGCTGAGACAGGAATTGCCGGCTGTTCATTGCCCTGCAGAAGCTCAAAGTCGACGACGATGTCTACTCGGATCCTCAGCGTGGTTTGTGTGTTCTGCAAGGGTGTGGACGCTTTCAGTGTGCCTTGACATGAGAGTTTGGTATTCTCCCTTCACTGAGGGCTTCTTGGCTCTTGCTGATTGCAAAACAATTGCCTGATGTGCGCCACACGCCCTTGGCTGAGGCGAGGCCTCGTCGGGGGATGCGCGGTGGCGCAACCCGTCGGCCGTCCTCTCCAAAACCATCCGCAGCATCATGGATGAGTTTCACAGGAGGAGGGGTGTTCCGTCCAACACGTCGGGCCGGGATCGCGCGGCCATGGAGCAGAGCCGCAAGCGGCGACGCTGACGTCGGACAGTGCGCTTGACCCTCCCTTTTGATTGTTTCTTTTTTGCGTTGGCCGCGGGCAAAGGGTCCGTCGGACAGAGTGGCCGGCGTCGAAAAAGAGTGATTCGCGCTTGATGTCTCACCTGAACCCCTCAGCGTGCATGCATGTTTTGTGGCTGATGCTTGTTTGCGCAGGTGCTCACTATCACCAACGGCCTCACGTTCCGCGGCGCCCCAAGAAGTGCCAGAAACCTTCACACAGCCCATGTTACTCACCGTTGTGGCGCCACAGTGCTGCTTTTGTCTGTGGCTTGTCAGTTGCTTAGCGTGCAGCCAGCTGCCAATGGCCGTCGGACCTGGAGGCTTAGCCGAGGCACAGGCGAGAATTGTGCCACATGAGCCGGAAGAGGAAGGCCAGCGTCAGACGGAGTTCTTCACATTTGAAGTAAGTTCCACGAAGCTAGTTGCAGCATGGCAAGAATTGCGAGCAGCAATCCCAGACTCATGTGTGTTGCCGTTGCTCGTTGAGTGTCTGAGGTATTGCTCGAGGAGGACGGCGTTGGGCAGTGGGAGCTCAGGCGCTGGCACCACAGACACAGCTATGTCATCAAGAGGGAACTTTATCACCGTGTTCGTACAAGCCAAAAGGCGCCCCTGCCAGCAAAACCAGCGGCTTTGCTTTGACAGTGAATGGGTGCTAAGAAAGGTTTGGTTGTCCAGCTTTTGGTCCATCCCATCGATTCCTAGGCATGGGTGTCCCAGTTCCACATGATTTGGCCGGACTTGCCTTTGCCACCCTTGATCATCCCAGAAAAGCCTGGCGTCTGCCAGCCAGAAAAGCAGGCGCCTCCCCAGGTAGCAGCCTTGGGTCCAGGCCATGCAACAGTGTCTGACCAGACAGCTCCGACGGACCAAGTGGCATCAGACCAAGCCCCGTCGGACCAAGCGGCGCCAGAACAGGTCTTGTTCAGTCAGGCGCGCCGTTGGTATTCAGCTGACATCCGGCTGCTTTTGGCCATTCAGCTCTGGGACTGCATAGGGCGGCCAAGGCAAAGAGAAGGGGTCTCTTTATTGAATTCATTTGACCGCCGGAGACAGCACACTGTCGACCCAGAGGGCCTTGAGTTCATGCAAGACTTCTTGAACACTGCAGCTGCCAAACTACAGTTCCAGATTCGCTTGCCGTGCCCGTTTCGCCACTGGCAACTTACAAAGCAGCAGCTTTGGTACTTTCTAACTCAAAGCCGCGCCGCGTTTTTAAGCAAGTCGTGTTTGCTCCCTACTAGCTGCGTAATTGCAGGAGTCGGGCAGCCGCGTGGGCAGGACCCCAACCTTGTCTGGGAAGGGCCTGCACAGCCTGTGCGCAGCAGCCCCGTGCCTTCTCAGCAGTCATGACAGCAGGCAAAAGCTGAGCGCAGACTGTGCTTTACGGCATGTGTCACCTTCGATCAAGCTAACTCAGTGGGGCGGGCTGGAGAGGGGGGCTAGTGCACTGTTGCCTTTGGTTTTGATCCGCTGTGAGGGTGGCCACCTTTTGCTTGACAACGTCCTTCACTTGGCGGGCAGTGAGGATGCAGACCCTCTGCTTTCGCCCTGAACGCCACTTGGAACATGATCTTTCGCGGGGAGTTCGACTCCCCTGCCGGACTGAAGGTGGCCACGCCGGACATGACGGTGTGCAAGCTTGGCGACTTTGTCGCCTTCTGTGCCAGTCACGGCTGCTCCCCCAAAGCAGGCACCGGGCGCATGCTCGGGCTTGCTGTGCTGCTGCTGCAACAGGTGGGGGATGCCCTTGCGTTGGACCAGTTCAGGACGTTTGTGCTTCCCCCATCCTGTCCTGTGTGTTGGGAAGTCTTCATGTTGCGGCTGGCTTCATCTCACAGTGTCAAGGCTTTGCAAGCAACCCCTTTTTTCCCAAGGATGCTTTCCAAGTGCACATCAGACGACCTGCCCCTGATCCGCATGATCCAGCAAAAGCAGCCGTCGGACCGAAAAGATGACTTGGGCCAAGAGCAGCGTGATGCTGGTGAGATCGATGACCGCATCTACTGCCTCGCTTCATTCAAGGAGACGTGGGGCATCCTGAGCCGCGCAGCGTCGGACCATTGTCGCAAATCCTTGTGCATTGTTGCTGACGCAGGCGATGTCGCAGGTGCGCCGGTGGAGCTCTTCTTTGCCTACTCGCCTGTCTGTGAACGCGGGGCGTTGCTTCCACACCAGGTCGGGGGGGAGCTTGTTCGTCCCCGCTTGCCAGGGCCTTTTTCAGGGCTCTGCTTAGGACTGCTGCCGCGCAGCCGAGTGATGCAGCATTTTGGCTTTCGCATTTGTTTAGGGCAACTCTGCCTGCAGCAATGGCATTCTCGGTGCGCTCGCGTCAGACAGGGTCCCTTGCGTCGGACACAATGAGCTTTGGACCCTTTGCCGGCGGGGAAAAGTTCAAGTCCAACGTGAGTTACGTTGGGCAGCTGGAGGCCAGCTTCGTTGGAGTAGTACCGAGACTTACTCTCAGATTCCCAGCACTTGCCCTAGGATTGCCAATTGCCAAGACTTACTCTCGCATTAAATTAGTATTGCCAATTCTAGATTCGCCATGTTTTCAAGCCTCACTTTCTACATTCAGCATTGTAAATGTTGAATTTAGTATTCCCAAAGAAACTCTCAGATAACCAGTGCTTATTCTATCGCTGCCAATTGTAGATTGAGCATTGCCGCGACTGATTCCCAGAATCCTAGTAGCGTCGCCAAGACTTGTTATCAGATTCCCAATGCTTGCTTTAGTATTGCCAATTCTGAACTGAGAATTGCCAAGCTTTACTCTTAGGTTCCCAGTCCGTACTTAATGTAGTCTCGTCATTGTCAAAATTAGCAGTGCTACAGATTCTCAGTGCTTAATTTTGTGTTGCGCTAAATTTTGAGATTCCCAGTGCTAAATTTGAAATTGCCAGTTTTACGTGTAGTAGCGTTGATTCTCAGTGCTTAATTTAATCTTGCCATTCAACAGTGGGCACTGCCAAGCCTGATTCTCAGATTCCCAGTGCGTAATTGTCCATTGCCAGTTCTATTTTGGCATTGTCAAGCCTGACTTGCAGATTACCAGCGCTTAATTTGACTGCCAGTTATGATTGAGCATTCTTGAGACCTACTCCCAGTTTCCCAGTGCCTAAAGTAGCGTTGCCAAGACGCTAACTTTAGTCTTGTACTTCTGAACTTAGAACTGCCAAGCTTTACTCTTAGATTCCCAGTACTTGACGGCGCCGACAGTGCCAAAATTTAGCGCTGCTACAACTTATTCTCAGATGCCCAGTACTTGATTTAGCGTTGCCAATTCGAGATTGAGCCGAGCA